GCTTGCCAGGCAGGCACTGTGCTGCTGAGCTAAATCCCCAGCCCCTGTCCTGTTGAATTTGTAATGTAGCTGTCAAGCACTTTTATTTGAGAATTCTGAGGTAATTTAGTGTTAGTCAATAGGCCGGAGGAAACAATCCCTTCAGCAGTGAGAGATTTCAAATATTGGTGCCACTTGTTCTGATCTGTAGATCTGCAACACCATTGTAAATTATTCTATCCCAGTCACCACTGGAAAGTTTTGCTCTTTCTCTAGGTTGGATGAAAACTTCACTGTGAAGGTCGCGGACTTCGGCCTTGCCAGAGACGTGTATGACAAAGAGTACTACAGTGTACACAACAAGGCGGGGGCAAAGCTGCCGGTGAAGTGGATGGCGCTGGAAAGCCTGCAGACGCAGAAGTTCACCACCAAATCAGATGTGGTAATGTTCTGATTACTTCTCCTCTTTCGCGTTTGTGCCCATAATTTCTGGGCAGTATAATTTGTAGAAGAATTCAGCACCACTAGTTTCAGGCATCTTTAACGATAAGCCTGGAGTTAGTTGTCTGATAGGTGCCTGCGGTGTGTTTTCATAAGTCCACTTGTCTGATCACAAATGTTTGGGACGTGGAGTGCCGTGCTGGTTCCTTGTGACACGGGATGGGCTGGGCTTAGCCCTGCGTCTCCTCGCCCCGTGCTAAGATTTCCACCTAGGGGTGTCTGGAAGCTGTAACTGTAGCAGGTCTGACAGTGAGGACGGGATCTTCGCACCTGGCTGGAGAAACGCCTCCTTTACCTGCAAAGGCCTCGTACCTGTGAGAGCACAGCTTCCGAAGGCGTGCGGGTGTGAGTAGCGAGCATGGCCAGGACACTCGGCGGCGCTCAGCTTCGCTGCGTCCCGCTCACACCTGGCAGAGGAGGTGGCGCCTAGGGTGGGCCCTAAAGGAGAGCAGGTTTGGAGCGGGCGGCTGAGTGAATGAAAACGCGGATCCCGATGAGGCGAAGGTGCAGGGAAGCGTACAGGTCTTTAAAGGTCTGAGGAAACAGTGCTTAACTGATGGTTTGGTGAGGGTGGAGCACGTGGGGAAGCTGTGAGAATAAACTGAGAAAAATACAGCCGTATAGGTCGTGAAGTTTCTTACACATCACAGCAGTCAGGCCCCACCAGGTCCCAGCTTTCCTTCAAGAAAAATCCCCGCGGAGGGTCTGCCGCTACAGCAGTTTTAGATTTACCAGAGGCGCAGAAACTGAGCAGAACTCAGAGCGGGGCAGGGAGCCGGACGTTACTATGCCGGCAGGCTCAGAGGGGCTGTGTGCTCCAAAGTCTGAGCCCCGAGCTTTGTGGGGCTCGTTTACGTAGAGCTTTTAGGCAGGAACGAGAAGGCTGAGTTACAGAGGCAGAGCATGGCTAGGCGTGGTTAAGGGGTTTGAGGCAGGCTCTACAAGCAAGGTAGCAGAAGTGGAACACGACAGTTGCTTTGTGCAAGCTATCCGTTTTGGTCTTAAGTTTCGGTGTCCCAAAGTTCTGTTTGTCTCTTCATGTCCATGTGCCACATAAACATGTAATCAAATTAATGCATTCTGTAAGATGGCTTGAGAGAGAGATGGAGGCAGGAGGAGGGAGGAAGAAAGGGAACGTGAAATAATGTAGAAGCAATGGCAGTGGAAAAGAAGAGGTGGAAGGAAAGGCATCCCAAAGGTAGAATCAACAGGATTTAGCAAAAGTTGATAGAAGTCAAAGATGAGCAAAGTTACAAGCTGCTGCAATAACAAATATGTGAAAAAGAAGCAAAATCTGGAGTTGCAATAAAAACAAATCGCCCTTGAACACATAGAGTTGGACTTGGGAGTAAGCCCACCGGGTTCGTTAAGCACTTGGAAGGGAGGAAATGCAGCGGTTTTTGTTTTTATGTCATAAGGCTGGCATGACAGAGAACAAAAAGGAAACAAAAACCTCTGGGTGTCTCAACAACAGGAACTTAGGCCTAACAGTTCTGGGGGCGAGGAGTCCAAGATGAGGGTGCCGGCACGGTGAGGTGGTGGTGAGGGCCTCTTCCTAGTTTACCGGTGGCCGTCTGCTCGCTGCGTCCCCTGTGATCGAGAGAGAAAAGGACAGACTTGCTGGTTCTCCTGTAACATGCTTAGCCACCAGGAGGGCGCCGCCCTGTGACCTCACCTAACCCTGAGCGCCTTCTGAAGGTTGCTATCTCCAGCCTCAGTGACGCAGCAGAGGTCAGGGCTGGGCGTGTGCCTTTGGGGGGCCCAAGTAATCACTCGGAAGAAGCTGCCGTATGAAGGGAGAGGCGCAGAGCGGTAGCAGACCCAGGAGAAGAGAGTGCAGGAAGAAGTGGGGCGGGCGGCGGCTCCACTGCTCTCGCTGCACTTGGTGCAGGGTCTTGGAGGCTGAGCGATTGGAGGGCCTTGAGGGCCCCACACTAAGGACCCTGGGCGTTGATTGGAGTGGACACTGCGCTTGTTCTGCAGACAGAAGAGCGTTCGATGTTTCAGCCAACTGAGAAATAAAAAGTGCAAACCTTGATATCGGAAAGCAGTTTAAAACAGTGCTCACGGAGAAGAGAACGCCAGAAGAGAAAGGCGGGCCACAGTGAGAGGGGGAGGTAGCTGAGTGCGGGGCCGGAAGTGAGAAGTCGGGGCGCTGCTCTGCGGCTGCATCAGCAAGAGAGAGGGGCGTGGTGCCAGTAGTAAGTCAGATGCGAGATGATCTTGCAGGGACCGCTGAGTTTCAGAGCCTGTAGGGAAGTGGGGTACATGGAGGTGACTCACAAGACAGTACACTGACGTGACTCACAGGGTTGTTTTTTTTTTTTTTTTCAACAAATAAGCGTGTCATAGGACATCCTAGAGGCAGGGCACTTCCAGATATATCAGGCTGATGAAAAGAAAGTTGCAGTCTGTGGTAGAGTTCAGGGCCTGGGATTTTGATAGAGAAAGATTCTGAAAGAGGTGAAAGAAGTGAATGCTACCGAGGAAGATGGGGTATTAGCCCTGGTGGCAGGTGAAAGGAAGGTGGAAAGGATTCGCCCTCCTCAGAGAACATCCTGCTCCTTCAGGCCCGATTCCCGGCCTGTCATTAAAGCAGCCCTGCTGGGCCTGGTGGGGCATGCCTGTAATTCCTGTCTACAAGGCTGGCACAGGAGGACACACGTTTCAGACCAGCCTAGGTGACGTAGTGAAACCCAGTCTCAGAATAAAAAGGGCTGAGGATGAGCTCAGTGCAGAGGCCCTGGATTCAGTTCACAGTACTGCTCGGAAGAAAAGGAGATTTGAGTGGACGTTTTACGAAGAGATGCTTGAATAGCGGGCTGGTCAGCGTGTGGGGTGAAAACATGGCGAGTCATCAGAGTAGTTCATTCCTTATAGCCAAACAGCAGAAGCAGTCCTAATGCCCGTCAGCTGGTGGATGGACAGACGAAATGTGATGTGTCTGTATGAGGGAACGATGCCACTCCACAATATAGAGGAACTACTGACACGCTGCAACACGGATAGACCGCACAAACATGCGAGAGAGAGCAGACTGGAGAGGACATGCTGAATGATTTCGTGTGTATGAAATTTCTAGCAAGTAGTAGGAGTACGGACACAGAAACCAGATCGGCGATAGCCTGGGCCTAAGAATGCCAGTGAGGATTTACTACAAAGGGGCGTGAAAGAGCTTTGTGGAATGTTGAAAGTGATCTGAAACTGGGTTGCAGTGTTACTTCAGACTGCAAATTTAGTAGGCATTATTGTAAATGCTTATACTTGGTAAGTTCTATGTTCCATAAATTCTACATTAGCAAAGCTATTTTAAAAACAGAGCCTAATGAAATTTTGGGTGTTCAAGGCAGGAGTTGGGATTCTGAGCTTTTTCACACACCCACGTTCCAGTGTCTCCCCAACACACGCACATGCACATGCTGGGGGCCGTGCCGTGCTCAGGTGATTGACCGTGTCTGTGACGGTGCCGTGTCTCCCTCTCACTGCAAGACGCTATACTGAGTGACGTGAGGGCTGGGCCTGAGACATGCACGTGCAGTGCTGCCTTAGCAAGTGGTTACTGCTGGCGTGGGTGAGTTTCCACCACGTTCCACGTCAGAAGCAGCACAGTCTTGTGAATGTCAGCGTGGAACATTTCCACAAGCACATAATAAACGGCATGTGTGTGAGACCGATAAGCAAGAATGTGCCTGCATCTACATAGCTTTTCTTTCTAGCACATGCCCAGCGCGATTTGGCTAAGCTCAACGCTCTTCAAGTACATTCAAACCAAACCGAGGTTACTAATAGCCACGTCGTGCAGTGTTCCTTGATCAGCACGCAGAGGTTTTGGTCATTGAAGTCTGGGCTGGCTTCTTGGTTGTTCAGTCCAGATGCTTTTGTCAGCACTCACCTACCTCAGCTCTCCGAAGCATGCCACTGTTGACCACCCCTTCTTTCTTGAAATACCCTCTTCGGGTTTCTGGGCACTGTAGCATCTGGTTTTCCTCCTGCTCCCCGGTTGCATTTTCTTTATTCTCACAGTTCTCTTCACTCTCTTACTGCTGGGTGAGGCTATCCCCCAGGATGTTGGTCTCCAGGGGTCCGACTCCCTCAACAGTTACACCCATTCGCATCAACACTGGCATCACCTTTGACCCTCCCTCTCTGGAGGTGGGCAGCAGCATCACAAATTTGCCATGTTCAGAATCAAAGTCTTTTCCGCCACACTGGCAGCCCCGCACCTCCTGAAGGCTGCAAGTACGTCATGGCGTCATCGTTGTGCGCTGCACCTGCCTGTCACCATGTTGCATGTGCAGTTCCTCCGGTAGCTGCAAACGCATACACCCTGTCACCCCTGCGACCCAGATACAGAGCAGTTCCATCTTCTGGAAAATGTTCCGTGTCCTTTTGTAACCTCAACCCTGTGTCCACAACCTGGAAATCACTGGGTTTTCTGTCTCTGTAGGTTTTTTTTTTGAGAATGTCGTATAAATGGAGTCATACAGTCACTGGTCTTTGGAGTCTGTCTCCTTTCACTTCCAGAATGGGTCTAAGAGTCACCCCTCTTGCCATGTCAGTAGCATCCATTTTAAGTATACGGTACCTTGGGCAACAGATCTCTAGAACTTCCTTTATTTTCTTTTTTGCAAAACTGAAATTCAGTTATACAATGAACAATTCTTTCCCGCTTCCTCCGGCCTCTGGAAATCACATTCTACATTCTGAGGCTATGAGTTAAACTTCTTTAGGTTCTTCATATAAGTTGCACTATGTGGGCCGGGGATCTAGCTCAGCGGCACAAGCGCCTGCCCAGAAAGTGCAAGGTCCCGAGTTCGATCCCTGGTACTCAAAAAAAAAAAAAACAAAAGTGTCTAAGTTGCACTACGGAGTATTAGTCTTTTGAGACTGTTTTTCTTGTCATAATGTTCCCAAGGTTTATTCACACTATAGCATAGGGCAGAATTTCCTTGTTACTAAAAGCTGAATAGTATTCTGTTGTGTGTATAAAGCAGACATTCTTTATCCATTCATCTGATAACGGACATTGATTTCTTCCACCTATTGGCTGTTGTGAATAGTACTGCAGTGACCATGGATGCACAAGTTTTCTGAGATACTCTATTTTCACTTTTTTTGTATATCTGCGTAGAAAAGGGGATTGCTGGATGCTGTGGTTGTGTTTTCAATTTTTTGAGGAGTTCAATACTGCTTACCTTAGCAGAGTAATTCATTTCCTTTTTATTTCTGAGTATCCCCTTGTACAAATACACCACATTTACTTGATTTATTCACCAGGTGAAGAATCACTGGGTTCTTTCCATTTTTAGGCAGCTACCTCTACGTAACTATAACTGCTGAGGCATTTGCTTAAGTTTTGTGTGAACATACTTTCTATTTGGGCACAGACTTAAGAATGAAGGCTTTGAGGTTGTAAAGTAAGCGAACTTTCAACTTCATGAGGAACTGGCTAGTTTTCCAAAGTGGCGGTGTCATCTGATGCCCCCACAGTGATAGGCCAGAGCCCGAGTCACGTGGCACCCAGCACTGGGTGTTGTCAGCTCTCGGGGGCTCGGCCGTTCTAACAGATCGTGCTGCTGTTGTCATTTTCTTCTTAATTTTTATTTCCCTAACGGCTAATAATGTTGGGCACCTTTTATGCGCTTATTTACCATCCTTCTGTCTCCTTTTGTGAAGTGTGTAGTCAGACTGTATGCCTTCTTTTGTTTTGCAATTAGTTTTCATGGGATTTTTTTTTTTGCTCATTTAAAAATTTTAAATTTTAAAATTGGGTAATGCATTATCAGTCTAGGTACAGGTTGGCTTTATCACGTTTTGCACGTGGACCGGTCTAGTCCGTCCCAGTGTTTTTCCTGAAGCTTCCTCCCTCAGACTCCCCGTTCCATGAGTCCTCAGATCTCCACTGATACCCAGTTATTGCCCAGGCCCTGTGATTCCTCAGGGATTCACCCAGCTGCTCCCCATTTTAATAAATTTCTCTTTAAACCTGTACAGAGCCGAAGGCGCTCTGTTAGAGGGCCTTGATGGCAGTGCTGTTCAACCTGTCACCACAAAAGAAGTCACTTACAGGGGAGTGAGCAGGTACAGCCTGCTATAAGGATTAAATAAGGTGCTGCTTCACTCCCTCCCACCCTGATTTAGGAGCGAAGCCCCGCAGGTTTCCTTCCATGCTGCCGTCCTCCAGCGCACCCCTCACCTGTAATTCAGAAATGCCCTGTCTGGTCTCCAGAACTGGACCAGCTCTTCCTTCTTGTCTTAAGCGTGGTGTTTACAGATGGGTCTCCAGCAGCGCAGCTCGGTCGTGCCCATCCATGTCAGGTTAGCCTGGTTGCAGGATTCAGAAGCCTCCAGCGCACGGTTGCACTTCCACCGTATTTGTCCGTGCTTCCCTCGCCTCTTCCACACATCTGGCAGCATGACCTCCGGTGCCTGTGATTCCGCAGAAACCTGCATGTGCGGGCCACTTCCTCCTCCTGCAGCGCCTTGTGTCCTCCTGGTTCAGGCACTTGTGAAACAGATTCTCTGGTTCCTCAGGACCTGTTCTCATGTCCCTCTTCCTGAAGCCTTTCTTCGTAACCCACTGTTACCTCCTAGGCTTTTACAACGTTTCCACCTCTTTAACTTTGTTGGTCTGTATTGAGGTCATTGTCCTATTGTTCTGTGTGACAGTTGTCTTCACAATGCTCCTAACCTTGTTTAATCAGCCCTGGTACCTATCTGGTAGTTTGGATAGTGACCAGTCACTATACGTGATCAAAGGTCTGTAGATACCCGTTAAGCTGATGAAATTTTAATGCAAATTCCGGAGCTTGAAGGTTAACACAATAAAATTACCAGAATGACTTGTAAGGTTTTCAGGCTGTAGAAACTTCAGTTTTGATTTGGGTTTTTGTTGTTGTTTTGTTTTTAGTTTTTGTGGTGCTGGGGATTGAACTCAGGGCCTTGTGCATGCTAGGCAAGAGCTCTACCACTGAGCCACATCCCTGGCCCTTGGAAACTTCAGTTTGGAAAGGCGAAAGTGAATAGTCGTTTGGCCCGAGGGGTTCAGTGGCCTTAAAGGGCTTGTGCACTTGGGCACAGGGAGAGAGCCATTAATTGAGATTTGTGTCAGCAACAGCCATATCTACCTAGTTCTTGCCTTCAATCTCAGTGTTCAGAGTCACGCATTGTTCTCCTTCTTGCTGAGTATTATAAGTTACATCTGCATCTCAGTGTTACGGTTTCCTCCTCCGCCTGTCTGATCTGGATTCTCTTTCCTCTCTGAGGCCCGTTATTCTCAGGAGTTCATAGCCTCCCTCATATGCGTCTTCGCCTGAAAATGATCGGGAAGGCGTCGTCCGGCAAGAACTGACTTCCCGTGTTCTCTGCCTGGGTGACTTGTCCATACTAACTCTCCTTGTGACCGGCTCTCCTGGGAGGATGTTCTCTTCCCATTCAGGAGGAGATATGTATGCTCTGATCTGTTCTAAGCAGTGCTTTAAACCAGGAAAGTGCATATTTAACAAAGTTCAGTAAACCCAGCAAGACCCAGGGGTCAAGAACTCTTAAATGTTTATTCCAACGTGAATTCAGATATGCTGGGGAATTTTAGCAAGTCACTAAACCTCAGCATCTCTGTGAGCGTCTCTTAAAGTACTGACACAGCTGTTTTATATTAGTCTAATACTTCAACATTTTCAGATTACAGTTTAATTGAAATTAGTTCTCACTGTGTAGCTTTGTTGCGCGGCAGTTTTATTATTTCTGATACTTATTGTTGATTGTCCTTATTAACATTTAGATACGGTTGAATTTCTTAAGAAGTGTTTGTGTTCATTTTGAAATCCTACAAATTTAAACTGTGGAAGGCTTTCTTTATCTGCTCTTACTAATAGCTAAGATTGCAGGAAAGATACTGAAAGAGAGGATAGAAATGTGTTGGTCCTTTGACCCTACAAGAGAGAGCTTAGAAAACATACTCTATAAGCTATAGATGAAATTTTTATCATCATAGAACCTCAGATATTCTTTTGGAAAACTACATTTACTTGTAATCTAGACAATATCTGATCCTATCTTAAACAGGTCATGAAATGTTTGTGTATCTTGAAGTGTAATCGTCTTTAAGGACATTTTCACCCAAGCAACAGTAGCTGTTAAGCCTAATTACCAGGACCTGCTGCTGCTGGCCTTGCACAGGTGCGTGGCCACACCCCCTGACCCTGGCTCTCCTTTCTTTGTTCACTAGTGGTCCTTCGGCGTGCTCCTGTGGGAGCTGATGACACGAGGCACGCCCCCTTACCCTGATGTGAACGTCTTCGATATCTTGGTTTACCTGTTGCAGGGCAGAAGGCTCTTCCAACCTGAATACTGCCCAGACTCTCTGTAAGTAGGAGTCCCCACAGGGTCTTCTGGTCTCGTATGTTCACTTCCTTGACGGAAGTATTTGCGTCCAAGGGATCTCTCACAGCATTTCTTTCTGAAACAGGTATGAAGTGATGCTAAGTTGCTGGCACCCCAATGCTGAAATGCGCCCATCCTTCTCCGAGCTGGTCTCCAGGATATCAGCCATCTTTTCCACTTTCGCCGGGGAGCACTACGCCAATATGAATGCTGCTTACGTCAATGTAAAATGTGTCGTTCCACATCCTTCTCTGCGTCGTCACCGGAAAACATGGGTGCTGACGTGGGGACTTGATGAGTGGGCACCCACCTGCCCTGTCCAAGAAGGGTCGTAGGGCTCGCCCAAACCACAGTCCGCATTTCCTACCAGTTTCACTGCCTGGCCTGCAAAAGGCCATCAGACACCTTTTGCTTGTCAAAATTACACCAGTCCCGGACTTCGTATTGTTACGTAACTCACTGGATTCTACAGAATTTGTCCTCTGACAGAAACATGAGAACCACAGACTTGTTTCCACAGGCCAGGGACCATGGCAACCCTGCAGCTAGGACAGCACTCCTGAAACACTGGAGTCCACAACCGAAGTCTGAGTTGAAAGTTTTAAACTCAGAGTCCCACTTGCTCTCTTACGAGGAACTGATACAACGAATTTTCAGGGCTCCTCACTGGAAATTCCGAAGAGATGGTCTTGTCCGGGACAGGCACGGGAGTCCCCGGACCAGGCCACTCACCCAGAATTCCAGTTTTCGGATCTCTTTTCCATGCTGTGTGGTCACAAACATTTTTCATTACCAGTGTCATTTGCCCATAGGCAGACATTCCCTCTTACGTTGTCACATACATATTCCTTGGGTTGGGAAATACCCACAGGCAATACAGTCAAGTTTCAAAATAGCATGACACAAGATGTGTTTACAGGTTAGCTGGGATAGTTATATATTGTATTAGAGGACGTTAAGAAATTTTCATAAAATAGCTTAGTTACAAAACGTTGGTCATTTTAAAACCAACTATTTGAGAACGATACTGTTCTGATGTAATAAGTGTGGACGTTTAGAAATTTTTTCTGTCTTTTTACGACAGCTCTGAAAATAGACAAGTTATTTGTGATAATGAATATTTTTGAAGGTAAGTCAGTATGTTTTTAAGGCATAATACAGCTGACCAAACAGTCCATGGCTTCCACTCACGGCTAAGTTAAGTATGCAGAACAAAGAGAAGCCCCGTGGGCTGGAAGTATTAACCTCTCTCAGGTGGCAGCTTCCCACTTCACAAATGATTGGGGAAAACTTCTGGGGAGTCCAGTTTTACATTACGACTTGTTTTATGTCGAGCAAAATAAATTGTAGAAACCAACAAACAAACACGGCAATTGAAAATCCTGCCTATTTCCCTTGGGTGAATGGCTGTTGTGGGCAGGACTTGTGTGATGTTTTGTTTCGTGGCATTTGTGCTGACTACTGTATAGTACATTGACATAGGTTACTCTAGCTGATTTTGTCAATGTGAGCATTGAAAGTATTATATTTTTATAAAAATGTTTATTTTTAATGATAGAAAAAATTTTGTTAGGCCATAAAATACTGCACTGTGAACATTTCAGAGAAGGTATGTCAGACTCGGATCCATATCAGCATGATTGCAAATGACTGTAAATAGTGATAAGGAAACATACTGAGTGCCAGTACTCCCCACCCTCATTACCTCAGCAGGACCTGAAGCCAAGGGTTAGGGGAGCAGCGACAACCAGGGTGTGTTACACTGAAACCCAATAGTTGAGCTTGTAGTTGCAGGAAAATGATGGCACCCGAAAGCCCTTCGGCAGTGGTGGGCCACAGGAGGAGCTGTGCTGCAGAAGTACTTCAGTGCAGACAGTACTGCTTCATTAGTGTGAAGAGTAACACCAATTCACAAGTATTGGAAGTGGTGCGTTACCAAAAACGTCTGCTCTGCAGAGAGAAGTGCCCGTCTGTGTAAATCGAGAGAGTGTACGTTACCAGGCACTGAGGGAGCTGGGAAAACAGCCCATCACCAGCACTGCGCGCTTGTGCACACAAGCTTGAGAGAGCTGCAACGTGGAAATCGTGTTTGCTATTTATGAAAATGTCCTTAGGTTGACGTGTGTGAAAAAATTGTGGGAGTAAGTGATGCTCCTAAGAATTAGATACTTGTCAGTGCCTATACCTGCAGTTCAGCTGAATGGTACTTTGTATGTTAATAGTTGTTGTTCTGATAGATCCTACGGTTAAAATAAAGCGATGTTACATGTTGTACACCGAGAGCGGTTTATTGCTAGTCATGCTTGGTTAGCTACTCATTTACAGAGTGACCGAGGAAGCCTGGAGATTGATTTCACCTGGCTTCCCCGTGGATGAGAGGCTTAGTCAGTAAGTGCAGGGACTGTAGCTGAAAGAACTTGCCTCCCTGAGTTCTTGGGAGTCTCTAAGAGTGGTTTACAGTGAGCTACAGAATTACCTGCAATTTTCTGACAGTATTTCAACCGCCAGAGCAACTGGTTCCTACGTTAGCATAGTGCTGCTCTCCAGCACAACGTGACAGAAGCAAAAGATGACAGCCGCACGGAAGATCCAGCAGTGGCACTTGGACCAAAAGGTTCGACAGTGGGGCCCTGACCCCACTGTGGCCACGGGGGCGGGTGGGTGCCTGCGGAGTGGGGGTGAAGAGAGGCGCCTTGCTGCCTCCACAGTATCGATCCCGTCGACATGCATGTTCACCCTCTGGCCCATACCAGAGGGATAACTTCCAGCTTACCTCCACATACATTCTTTTTTTAATATTTTTTATTTTTGTTTTTTTTTCCGGTACCAGGAATTGAACTCATGACCTCACGCTTGCCAGGCAGGCGCTGTGCCACTGAGCTAAATCGCCAGCCCCTCTCCACATATATTCTTATGATGGTAAAGAAAATAAAGGTGATATTTCAGCCATCTAAGAATTGTACAGCACTTTGGGGAAATCTGATTATTAAGAGATGCTTGCAAAAATATAGTAGGGGCTGATTTTTTATTTTTAGAAAATTCTATCTCTGTACCCAGCCAAACTCACTCCCAAATAAGACCCACTCCATAGAAAGCTCAGTCACTCTGTGCCACGTAAAAGTAAGAACCTACCGTCTTTATATCCCTAGTGTCCAACACTTAGTAAATTCTCAGATCTTAAGTGCTAAACACCTTCAAACCCTCAATCATTTTAAACCACCAAAGACAAAGATTATTGGCGACCCAGGTCAGGGAATTGGGAACCTTCTAGGGAAAGAGGAATAAAGAGAGACTCTGCTACAAAATTTGGCTCAATGTTTTGAATTTTTAATTGCCTCGTGGAAATTAATTTTTCACTTTCTGATGGAGGCGTATTTTTACTTTCTGGTCTGTAGGGCAGATTCCATCCTTCAATAAGAGAATATGATATAAAATTTATAAAAAATACATGTTTGCTGAAATCTTGCGTTGTTGATCTGCCTACCCTACTTTAATTCAGGAAATAAGAGTATTAGATCAAGGAAATTGATTGGTTTATTTAACTCAAATAATTCTCAAGCACCTAGTACATTCTCAGCCATCCTGATGACACACACAGGTATCGGTACAGACCCAGTTCGTTCCTGTGGCATGTTAGACCGTGTCAGGACATGGAGAGAGAATGCAGGTATCATTGCCAAAGGTAGAGACGCTTGCTGCTGTGTTCCCTTTTCAGCCTGACCTCTTTCTTCAGGACTATCTCAATTCCTTATCTATCAAAACACTAGAAAGAACTTCCGTCATACAGCAGTGAAATATTTCAACTGGTGAATTGAAAGTAATAAAACAGGCTTGCCCCAACTGTCCTTTGTTGTAAATTACACCAGAGGTCTAGATTACGTCAGCCAGAGGTATTGATCACAGCACTGAGAGGTTTATAACTACTACTGACTTAGCATGTGACCCTGGAGCAGAAATCTAGGGAAACTGCAAAAGCATATCCACGTAATGAAAAGTCCGCCCTTACAAGACTTAAAATCCCCTCATCTAAGTAGTGTTATTTTGGCTTCAAGGCAAATATTTCATAAACGCTGGAAATCGAAGAAACTTCTGCTGCCTGCCTTTTCTCCGTTGACTGTTTCTAAGCTATTTGATGAATACATTTTCCTTTTTATCAAAAGTGCAGGTTTTTAAGAAGCTGATATTATTAGTCCCTATAAAATTAGTATCCAAACATGCAAAGAGCTCCTAATTCATTATTATTTTAATAAAGAGCTACAGTTCCCCCATATGGGTCAATTTAGAATAGGCTTCAGGTCCTACTGTGAGCAGTTAAGCCCTAACTCGTTAGGCATTGTGAAAACCTGGTAGCGTTAGAGAAGCAATTCTGAGATGCGAAGGGTCGCGCGTTGGATGCATAAACAAATTTCTAATTTATATAAATTACTATTATTTGAAGCCCTGGGCCCAGATTATAAATGATAATTAGTTTTCATCCCTTTCTTGAAAAGAAGCGCTTTGTGTTTATGCATTCACTTTTTCACTGTCATGTGACTACATTCTTTCCACCACATGAGTTCCAGGCGGGCAGAAACAGCCACTAATCCTTAGACCTCTTGGCTGGAGCAACAAAAATGTATAAAATCTTACCAGGCCCAAAGAGATCGACTTTAAAAATCTCTGGCATCCAAACATTTCAGAACTATTTTTCTGCCCAAACTCTTCCTATTCTTCATTTACAGTCCACGGGATCTATAATACCAGCTGCTGTTTTTGTTGGGCAGCCTGAAGTTTTTAAGCACATTTCGTCGACCTTTCATGATTGTGGTTTTCACAGTGGTTTTATGAATTTTTTTTCTGTTTCTAATTGTTTTTGCCCGTGGTGGATCAAACCCAGGGTCGCAAGGATGGAAGGCAAACGCTCTGCCCCTGAACTCTGCCCCAGGCCCTCTCTCGTCTAACTCTTAAGAGTGGGACGAAGTGGAAACGAACACTGCCCGGAAGCCCTCACTGTGACACTTGCTGCTTTGCTCCTGTGACATCTGCTCTTTCCGTTAGTCAACCAGGGGCTTTCCTTGTGCAAAGCTGTGACCAAACAACCACCATATTCATCAGAGGCCACAGCTCTTACAAACAGGAATGCCAGATTCAGAGCCTTTGTGAAGTCTGCCCCCAAGAGCCCACACTGCAGTGACGTGCTCCTCAGGGACAATTTCACAAACCCCAAGAAAGAAAAATTACAGGGAAACCCAAGTAGCCTACTGTTACTGCTACAAGCTGTTCCTAATGTATTGTTAAGCTATGAGAAATACTCAGAATTTTAATTCACCTCAGTGGTGACTACAGGGTCGGTGGACACCCCCGAGTGAATAAACATCCGGTCACCGTCACACGGATGTTCTTTTTGCTAGCACATGCTTCCAGTACTTGCACTTTACAATCTTGTTGGAGGGTCGGTTCGTGTGCATAATACAGTTTCTTTTTTTAATCGCTGTCCTCCTCTACTTTTCACTCCTGTTGACGTTATTAATCCAGTTCATGTGTATGGCGTATAATGTCCACATTCACTGAGGTTATTAGGATCATGTACGTGGCATATCTTCACTGTACTGGCTTTTCCATCTCCTCCCCTCACCCCTGCCTTTGGTCCCATGGACCCCTTCCCTCTGCAAGAGACTCATCCCTTGTCTCCTCCATCTTCCTTTACTTTTCTTTTAGTTTGCACCTTGCCTTACCCAAATGAGAGATACCACGTGGTATTTAAGCTTGTGTGTCTGAATTGTCTTCACTCTATATTTTCCAGGTGCATCCGTTTTCCTACAGATGTCTCAAATTTGTCGTCCTTAATAGCTGAGTAGTATTCCATTATATATAGATACCACATTTTCTTTTCCAGTCATCTGTTGGTGGGTATACAGGCTACTTCCAGGATTTAGCTGTGACAAATTGTGCTCCTATAAACATGGGTATGAATTTATCACTGTAGTATAAAGTCTTAAACTCTTTGAGTACGATACCTAGAAGGGGGATAGCTAGCACATACAGAATTTCTAATTTTAGCTCTTTGAGAAATTTCCTCCTGAGTTCCATAATGGTTGTGCTAGTTTTCCACCAACAATGTAGGAGGATTCCTTTTTCACCACAGCCATGCCAGCATTTGTTATTGGTTGATTTCTTGATGATAGCCATTCTTTCTGGAGTGAGATGAAATCTGAGTGTTGTTTTCACTTGTATCTCTTTAGCAGCCAGGGATGTTGAACATTTTTTCATGTACTTGCTAGCCATTTGTACTTCTTCCTCTGTTTAAGTGACTGTTTAGTTCACTTGCCTATTTTTGAGTGGGTCTTTAATTTTATGTGGTCTAATTTTTTTAGTTCTTTATGTATTCTAGATATTAGTCCTCTGTCTAGCTGGTAAAATTTTTTCCCATTATGTAGGTTGTTTCTTGAGTCTACGAATTGATTCTTTTTTTTTTTTTTTTTTTTTTTTCTGGTACTGGGAACTGAACTCACAACCTTGCGCTTGCCAGGCAGGTGCTGTGCTGCTGAGCTAAATCCCCAGCCCCCTCTACTAATTGATTCTTTTGCTATACAGAAGGTTTTAGTCTGGCATAATCCTATTTGTTGATTCTTGCTGCTATTTCTTGTGTAATTGTGGTTCTGTGTAGAGAATCATTTTCTTCATGTACAGTTTCAAGTGTTTTACCTACTTTATCTTCCAGTACATTTGTGTTTCTATTTTGATGTCTAGATCTTTGATCCCTTTTTATTCTAATTTAGTAACTGTAAGAGATAGGGGTCCAGTTTCGATCTTCTGCAGTTACCCAGTTTTCCAGCATCGTCTGTTCCATATGCCATCTCTCCTCCAACGTATACTTTTCTGCCCGTTATCAAATATTAAAAATGTGATTCAGAAACAAAATATCCAGTGTTGAAACTTGTAGATTTTTTTCTGAAAGTGAACTTGATAAGAAATAATAATGATAGCAATAATGATCTCATCTGAGGACGTGTCGCAGGAATTAATGACTGTCTCCAAGCTAATGGACTAAGGTAATGCTCTCAGGGATTAGTCTTGCTTAATGAAATGCTGTTAGTTTAGTAAACGAATGCTTAAGTGACAGAAAGTAAAAAAGTCAAGGCTGGTCAATTCACGGGGGAGAAAAAGCTAATGCAAAAACATGTCATGTGCTGCTCTTACTCCTTTTATTTATTTGTGATTCAGAAAATATAGCTTTTATAGTTTTTGCCTTTCATACATCTGCCTCAATTTTACCCTGAGGATATGTTTATTTGTAGATT